ATTAAAAAAAATACCTCTACATTCAAATATTTTATTGGAAATTAATAGAAATCGTATACACAGGCCGGTTGTAACTTGGTTCCCATATATTTATAATGCGGCGTTTTCGCGCGTTTTCTCTGCCTTCAACACTAATACTTGCTACGAACTAGTAAAAACAACTCTCCCTTTAACTATATAAATATTTAATTAATCTGACAGCATGATTTGATAAATCAATTAAAATAATTATAGTTGCTTCGTTACAGTATTTTATAAGATGATAATTAACTTAGGTATTAAAACTTTTACTCATGAATACATTAATTTCAGTGGCATTAACTTCTGTAATGCCTTGAAGGATAAAATATAAATTTTATATTTTAATGCCTACTTTTATTTTTTAAATGCCAAGATGGCCGGTGATCATGTCCGGCCGACACGTCACAGAAGGATCACTTTACATTTCCCTTTCTACTTGATTTTTGACTACAATTTTCCATATCCTTCCAATTTATAATGCAACAATTCCATTCAAATCCGCCACTACATAAAATTTTCTCTATTAAACTTTTTAGTAAAATGACAGTTTTTAGTTGCCATCGCCTTCCGCAGCAAAGTTATGTAAACATTCAACACATCTTCGTATTGGTTTTCTACGACCAATTTATATAAAAAAACCAGCACCAGTTGAGATTCTTGCCAGCTCTTCTAAATTTCTAGCTAGCCGAATTGAACGAACGGTGTATAACGTGCACAAGAGGCCAAAGCTCCTATGTGAATAAATAATTTTTAGTTGACTCTGAGTTTTTAAATTATATTAATAAAGTACTTGAACAGAATTTCAATTGAAGTATATAATATATAAGTTATATAATATAATAGTACTGTTTAATTTCAGTTACGTTCTTTAAACTTCGTTATTTATGTTAGTATCTATAGATCTACAATTTTACATTGTAGATACTTATAACAACCATAACGCTTGCGAAACAGCACACCTAACCAATAAACAGATAACATCAAAATATAGTTATTTCCCGTTTTTATACTGATAATATGAGTATTAATAACATAATGTATTCACAGTTATTCAAGCCTGATACAGAGGGACATGTGAACCAGATGTTTACAAGTCGTAAACTGATTAAATAATTATGCAAAATTCAAATTACTCTGTGAATATTGATTTCATATAATTAACATGTGCCTAAAGAAAGATTATGTAATAAATGAAAGTTTTATTTTAATAAACATGAGAAAATAAGAAATTATGTAAAATTTTACGTAGTTCATAATTTCTTTTACAAAAAGGTAATGTTTTTTACACATATATTTTAATTAGTTGTTTGTAAAAAAAGTCCCTAGATAAGTTTCTAAAAATCTAATTGTTTCTTCAGCGTTTCCATAAATAAGCAAAATATTTTTTCTTTTGTCTCATATCGTCAGGAAAATTTAAAAAGTGACTAAATGCTCGTTACTTTGTATCTATACGATACGTAAAATTCTTGGAATTTATTTAAAATTCACAACAGGTGTAGATAAGGTAAAAAAAATAACAAAATAAAAATAAGTAGGTAACTTGGCTATAATTATTCTCACGTCAAATCCTTAACGAGATGGGCAATGAGATATAAAAACTAACATGCCTATTAGTGGACAACTGATTTCTACATCAGTATAGTCACTTTACTTTTTCACTTTTACTCTCAAGTACTCTATTAATAAAGACCAGACACGTTTCGTTAAATAAATAAAAAATAAACATATATGAATGATATTCTCCAAATATTAAAATCGTTTTCTAAACATAAATAAATAAATTATAATAAAAAGGTATCTGTGATTTTAATTAATTATATTTAAATTAATGTTGTGCTCTATCTCATCCAAGCGACCATAAATCTTACTGTCATGACATTTTTAATGCAATTCACACTAAACATATAGGAATCTTCTCAACATATAAAGCGAAAAGACTAAAAATTGTAATGGACAAACTCATAAAATACTTAGCAATTTAAAAATTCTATCACCAACCTAAAGTTATATTACCGGTACATAAAAGGTGTATTTAATTTTTTTAAATTGATATTCTATCATGGTCCTACTTCTGTTATCTGTGGTCCTACAATAATTGTACTAGCCCGAAACTGAGGCGAGGCGCTATTATTATAAATCTTAGATTTTTTAACAGTTGTTATTATAAATAATATAATTATTATTACTGTCCAAAAAACCTGTACCTGTGTAACCTAAATACTATGTATTTATTCTAATATCTATATACAATTATTATTAGTTTGTTTATAATATAATTACATACTTTAAATGCTAAGATATATGTACACGACTAGCATACATATATATCCGATTGTACTTTCGTGTATATACATCTATACAATTACACAATATAATATAACCTCTCAAACAGGGATGAAGTTAAAGACACACATTGCTTCATTGTCACATTAAATTAAATTTATTTGATTATATTTAAATTATATTTATATTTAAATTAATCTTATAATAATGCATATATGTCGATTACTGTACATATTCTAGATGGCGCTGAGTGGATTGTCCAGGAATACTATTAGTATCATTCTAAATTCATCTCTTTTAGTTAGTGACAGACAACCTCAAAAGAAGTGCAGGAGAAATTTTTAAGCAAATATATGCTGTTTTCCTAATGTTTCCAATATCGTATCAATGGAACCATCATTGATTTCCTCTTATTAATTGTTTAACCAGTTGGTTATATATTCAATATTTTTTCTATTTGAGTATTTAATTGAATTAGTGCTAATTGGTGATTTGTATTCACACACTCTTAAAAATCAAAAGAGCAACACGCAAGTTTCTTGCTCGTTCTTCTTGTGATGAGACAGCTTTCCGAACGAGCGGTAGTTTAAAAACATGTAATGACTATTCAAAAGTGCTTCAATGTAAGTTTATTTCTTTTGGGCTTGTCTGTGCGTAACAATCACTGATAGTAAGTCATATGCGGCGCCCATACGGGCGTGATTGTGAAATCTTCAAGTGCATTTACCTCCTTAAAAGACTCACCTGCATTTACCCTGGTGTTGTGGGTGCTCGTACGGTAATTACTTATCATAATCATCAAACTCATCTACTCCTTTGCTATAAAAAAAAACACTAAAAACATACTGACTATTATCGTATTACCTACTACTTAATTATAGAAAAATTAACATGCTATTGACACGGGAACAAATCCTAAATTGATTAGAGAAAATACATCATCCCCAACACTTTAGTTTATACCAACATACAAAATCTCCTCACTTTGGCAGTCGGTTGAAAACTTAAATAAATTGTTCTCTTGCATAATTTTAAACGAGAGTAAGCGACCAATAAATATTGTGACGTAAGCGTTGTGACAAGGTCAATGGCAAATTATACATTAAAGGAAGCCTGTTTCTGTGACACCTAAATATAGCTAATTGGCATACATAAAGCTATAAGCTTTGTATACCTATATATTTAATTGTACGTATATCTATGTAAATATTACTCTAAACTAATACTAAACTTACATGGTTTTACTTAGTTGTTATATCTCTGCCTGCAGTTTCACCCTCGTCAAAATTTATAGCCTGTGTTATTCTGCTGTATAATCTATGTTATTGTAAAGTTTCAATAAAATTGATTTAGAAGTTTTTGCGTGAAAGAGTAACAAACATACATCCATCCATAGTCACAAACATTCGCATTTATTAGTTTGTTAGTTTAAGTTTATATACAGGATAATGTAAGTTGCTTTGCGGCAAAAATAAATGAGGGAAAAATACTCTTACAAACAACATTGTACAAAGTCTTTTGGTAACATCCAAGTAACAACAACCTGTGACAATTCACACACCACCATCTTCTCTTAAGCTAAGCTTTTGTTATGAGTACTAGAGAACTGATATTAATTCTTAAATACATTTTTACTCACATAATATACATAGTATAAAACCCAGACCGATACAAACACTCACACTTACGAATACAAATGTTTGCACCGTGCAATCGAACCCGCGACGATCGGAAGTAAAACAGTGCGATAGCTACCTGCTAAACAAAATGAATATTATTTATTACATAAAAATACTTTTGTATCTCCATAGATAATTAATCAGAGTTATAAAAAAACAATGACGCAGTCCATCACGCTATCACGTTACGACGCATTCGTGATGTAACAAGCGTATCGCATGCTTTGGGACGCTCTCAAATTTAAACAAAGCGATTATCGTTTACGACCAATAACGTTTCTAAGCCACGGTTAATAATATGATTTTTTGTGAGTGCCGTGGTAATTTCCTTTGATGGATTTAAAAACAGAAATAGTCTGGACAATTATTGGTATTAAATTCACGTCGATATTTCTAAATGGTATAAACAAACTATTGAATAGTTAAGTCACATGCTGCACCAAAAGTTTATTATTTTACGTATCAAAATAACCTTCAAGATGATCAATAGAGAAACAATACCTACTGGAACATGCCATCAGAAAAAGATACGATTTTTTCAACCTCGTTGATAGAAAACTCTTTAATGAAAACATCCAAGCAATCCCGATTTTTTTATACTGCCCGGTGCAAAGAATTTGTAAAAAAAATTAATGTAATCATTTGGGCCAGCCTGTATATTGATGATCTTTATGTAAATATTATTTAAAAATTAAGGAATCATTTACAGTACTTTTAAAGGAACAATACTTGGAGAGGAAATTGTATTAAGTATAAAATATGTATATATAATAAACATATAAAGTCTGTTATATACGTTTAATAATGTTTTCAATCAATACAAAACTTTACCAATGTTTTAACAATTTCCCCCACATTTACTATACGTAAAATGGAACGTATCAATAAAACGCTTAGTACTGTACGAACTTCACTCTAATATCTTTCGCCGCACTTGCTTGACAGTTTGACGGAGTCATTCTGACAACGTAACTGTCCGTCTTTTTGTCAGTGACAGTCAGTCACTAACAACGTCCATTTTGTTTTTGGTATCAGTTTGTAACTCCGAATCTAAACCACGTTGTTTCCAAAATTGTGTATATTAACTTATAATAGTTTATTTATTTTTTCTTTAATATATTATTATAATGAAAATATGTCAATGTTAGCGGGACCTCGTCGAAAACAGAAAGTTATTAATTTACGAGCTAAGAACAGTGCTTGGAGTAATGACACGAACAAGTTTGGCCAACGCATGTTGGAAAAGATGGGCTGGAGTGAAGGAAAGGGGTTAGGAGCCAATGAAAATGGAATTGTTGAACATGTGATCGCTAAGTATAAGAACGACGATAAAGGATTGGGTTACGAGGATAAAAATGACCAGTGGACCAAGCACGAAGATGACTTTAACTCATTATTGGCAAATTTATCCAATGGTAAGTAGACACATGTGATTTTATCATAGTTAAACGCTATACACCTTAAAAACAACAATGCAATATTAATTCCATGAACTTTATAATTATAATTGAAAAAACTCTTTATAGTTACTCTCACAAACAAAAAACATACATTTAAAGTAGTATACAAATATAAAAATAATATGTACTTAATTTTATAATTCCATTCCACAAGAGTTCCCCATAAAATGATTTTCCAATTTGTGTATCACTCAAACCATAAAATACACTATATTTAAAATAATTAATAATAATATATATATTTCGAATACCAGTTTGTTTTGGTGTTTACATTATTATCTAGATTTACCAAAATAAACCTGTTATTTAAGTTAATCATTAATAAATGAAATTAACATGCATAAAAATATTTTAGGTAACGATAATAAAGGAGAGAAACTTCATAGTGGTGTATCGTTGGAAGTGAAGTCAAAAAAGAGCAAAGCAAGAGTCCACTATCATAAATTTACACGAGGCAAAGACCTTACTCGCTACAGTGAAAAAGATTTAGCCAATATATTTGGTAAAAAAAGCTTTAAAGAAGAAAAAGGTGAAGAAGAACCAATCAAAGTAGACATAAAAACAACAGAGCAGATATTCACTGAGAAAGGCAGTATGGAAGATTACTTTAAAAATAAACTAGCAGCTTTTAAATCTAAAAGTAAAATTACTGCTCTAAATTACATTGAAAAAGATCAGGATGATGAAGGTGACTGTGCTTTTAAAGGATTTTCTATGAGTACTACTGATACAACAGAATGTACTGAAAATAAGGACATAGAAAAGTTTTCTTTCTATGAATCATACCATGTTGAAAAAACAATTGATACAAATCAAATTGATACTCAGTTAGATATGGAAGTTGGTAAGAAAAAGAAAAAAAAGAAGAAATCTAAAGAGATTGAAATTGAAACAATAGCTTGTGACGATGCAGTTTTATTAAAGTCCAACACTAAGATAAAGAAAAGAAATTTAAGTGATAATGTAGTACTTACTGAAGTCGAAGAAACAATTAAAGTGAAAAAGAAATCTAAGAAAAATAAATATGTACATGATCACATAGACAATGATATGACTGAAACGAATACATTTGAAAACAGTCTGCAAACAAATGGTAATCCAGAAAATGTTGAAACTAACGAGCATGTGGTAGACAATTCTTATGTGCCTAAAAAGAAGAAAAAACGAAAAAATAAAGACAAATAATGTTCATCCATGAAGTATGTTTTATTTAGTATATATGTTAATTTTATATAAGTTTAAAAAATATTCAATTCCTGAAAAATATCCATAATTAATGATCTATTAATACCACCTCTAGTGAGAATGCTTACAATTTTCTATAAATTTATTTTAAGCATTATTTTGCTTGTTTACCACAAATTATAAATATAAAATTAAATATTTTAAACAATCCACTTATGAAACTAGGTTAAATTGTTACTAAAAGAACTGAATCATAATCAGTTCATTAGTCTAGGGGTTGGAATGTCACATACAGACCATCAAACTTATTAAAAATAAAATAAGTTTTAAATTCACAAAAAACAATTTTTGTATTTATTTTAATTGTACACAAATTTAGCTTGTATTTTGTAAAGACTATCTAACGAAATAAGCATATTTAGTGTATTTTTTATGTATAATAATCTATTTTAATTTAAATATGTACGCAAACCTTCTGTACTTGTTAAATTATCCTTGATTTATTTATATAGCAATTCGCATTTATCTAGGCAAAAATAATGATTATTGTAACAGGCAACACTTCTTTAATAATTCTGGCAACATTGTGTGTGTAACTATCTTCATGGTATTACAACTTCAATACTGTTTCACGCACTGACAATTCAAAATGGCTACTTAGCTGCGTTTTTGTTTATACATTGTTAAATCACGTTATTATTATTGAGAATACATTAAATTAATTTATTATTAAGTTATGGTTGTTCAATTGGAATTAGATTTACCATTGGAAATGCCTTTTGGTACAAAAACTCAGTTTGAGGTTAACCAATGTGTTGTTGTGAAAAACCACATGAAAGAATTAAAGCGAAATGTTATTGAAAATGTAAGTGTTGATGAGACTTCTCAATCATTGCGACAACGTATCAAAAGGAAGAAACGAAGTCGTGACAACAGTACAGAGTCGGAAAATAAATCAACTACAAGTGGGAACAGTGACGAAAACTTAAAAAAATACCCTGATAATAATTCTGTGGTATGTCCAAGTGATATTGAAGAATTAAGGTCTATTTATAATAAGTGTAGAACGATAGTGGAAAAAATAGAAAAGAAATACGGTCATTTACTCAATATTCCAGGATCATCATCGAATCAATTCAGTAATCAAAATGAATCAATAGAAGACGAAGAGATTGATATTGAAGACAAGTGCACATGTACGAAAAGACGGAAAATAATCTATGACGACGATGGTATAGAAATCAGTAAGGAAACAGACCTGGATACACATATATGCCCAAGCAAATTAAAGAGCCATTCTAATAAACATACTGTGGAAAATGTCTTGATTGAATATGAAGCGGACCACAGTCGACCAACCTTGCCTGATGACATACCAAGTCTGTCAGCGATGTTACATGATCCCCACTTAGAAATAACATGCCGTAACCAAATTGTCCAGAAAATGAAATTAATGAAACAGGAGTATGCAAATGAGATTCGTTTTAATAAACCAGCATTGATAGAACTATTGAAAACTGAACCTGATGAAGTATTTGAATTTAAGGGTACTAATTTAATAACATTGAAAGGATATTCATAATAAATCCACTTTTAAATATAATTTTTTTTTTTTTATTCGTATCACTGGATAAAAAACTAAATTACTAATATTTTTTTACATATCATATTATAATTGTACATCCACAGTTTTATTAGGCCCAAACAATTGATTTCACACTCATGATTTCATATTTTTACACTGTTAATGTTAAGTCTTAATACTACTATGCTATGTGCCAAATTTCATGACAATTGTTGAGTCTGTAGAGTATGTACTAAGTGGTAGATATCTGAAACTGGATAACTTTCAGATGCCTTTTATATAAGTAGGTGTGCATATAGTAATAGCAAAAAGCTATAGGTACATATATTTCTATGTAAAAGAATTACAGTAAACATGAACAATTTCTTTTGAAGCTACATACTAAATATATTGTAAATATTTCTATTACACATCATTATTAACATTTATCCCCAAATTAGGTCCGATTTCCTCAGGGGCTAAGAGAATGGCTAGCAAACATATATTCATAGTTTTTAATTATGCTTATTACATAATTGTACATATATAATCAAAATAGTACAAACAACAACACATCATCATCATCAATTTATAAATTACAGTAGTGACGGTTTATATAACTTATGAAGATTTCCATCTATTTGCATAGATCTTTATTGTTTAATTGAGAATAGGCATTTGGAATGTAATTTGTATATTCCTACATGAATATTAATTATTTTGTAATATATTATACAGTAGTATTAAATATTACAATATATTATACAGGCATCTGTTATTGTTAACTGTTATTCTTAACCATATGTTATGACAGTATTCATGACACCTCTAGATAATATTTGTATTAAATTACCTAAATCAATGTCAACAGATAAATAGATCAGCATTATATTATTATACCATTACTGACTTACGCATGTTATTATACTTTTCTACTATCCCTGTATGTATACGCATAACTCTACTTTTATGTATACTTGTGTTGAGAGTGATGTTTAGGGTTCCTTCCAGACAGATAAAGCTAAGGCTATTTATTTTATTTATAATCCTTTATTGCACCAACATTAAAGCAGATATATTGAAAAATATAACAATGTATTAAAGAAAAAAAAAGGTACAGAAGGCGGTCTTATCGCTAACACAATCTCTTCCAGACAACTTTAGGAAAGATTGTACATATTACTAATAATACAGTAGGGATCACACGATTGGAAATAAGTAAACAAAATAATCATAAAAAATATGAAAATATATAAATACACTTATTTTGCTGATCGTACAGTCGTCCCATATTGATACATTTAATTTCGTATCTTATCTATCCTATTGATATGCGGTGTTGTGTTGCATTGTAATAAGACAATACATATTGTATAGTTTCAGATATACAAATTAAATGCCACCTAAAATCCCAAGTGTAAGATCTCATTTAGTCTGATAAACCTAGCTGGACGATGGTAGGTAGGTATAGAATGTCCATTGTTCGTTTGCTAATACAAAATTATTGGAATGTGTCAATATTCTGTTAAGGGAATATGTCTCTTACTGAATTGTAATAAGAACTCAGACTTAATATAGATATCTACTCAGGTACACGCATTGCAAGACGAATAATGATGTGACCACATAGGTATCTACTTACTTCATCGTGAGTCCGAGAACCCGTCAACTTTGTGAAATAACTGGAACTTAATATTAGATGTAAGCATTAAAGTACCTACTAGTTGTGCCTTGCACTTCTCTAATTTACAAAAGTGGCGGTCCCCACAGTTCCCGAGTATTCCCGACCTCCGCATCCTACTTTATCGTCCGTTCCCGCTTTTTTTATTCTGATATATAGCTATTCTTTTTCGTATATCATTTCTTGTCTTTCGACAATAAAAAAACGTTTATTCTTGTGGGATATTATAGCGTCGTATGAAGGTCAATTTTATATTATGTTTTACCTACGATATACTATGACTTACCGATTCATAAGTTCTCATAAGAGAACTCGCCAAAAGCTAGAATGTTCTATTTAAAATCAATCTGTAAATATTACTTACTAACTTAGCTCAACTTTCACGTTTGTTAATGACAAACGCGAATGATCGTTGAAAGGGATTGTTGAATTATGAATGTGGTAGAATCTATGCAAGTAATTGGAGAGCAAGGACAAATACAGATGTCGCTCATGGTTTGTCTTCTACTATATAATAATAAATAAATATATATATATAATAAAGCAAAAAGCAGGACTACAATATGTTGATATTGTAGTCCTGCTTTCTGCTTTATTCGAGGCACAGATAAATATAGATTTTGGCTGAATGTTGGACCTACCTGTGCCAATAACGCTGGCATCTGTGAAATATAGGGGATGTATTCGTTAGGGACGGGTCTAATTGATTTAATCTCCAAGCGAACTTGTGAATAAATCATAACGGAATTTATCACGCGGTGTTTATATAGTAGAACCGCGTGAAGATCTAGTCTAATATGGGACATTGTTAAAACTCCCCTTGTTCAAATATCTGTTGTAGAATAAAACCAAATCTGCCGTTTTCCCTATAAAATGACATGGTGTTATCACCATTGTAACTAAAAATTTAATATATAATAGTTTAGATTTTGAATATTTCACGTACATAGAATAAGAAAATCAGTACAATATACTTGTTTGTACCTACTAACTTCTGTTCCCTCATTCCGATAGATATTTGGTCAATACTTTCTTGGCTGATCCATTTCATAACAGACGGCTACCGTCCGCTAACATTTTAGTAAACAAAGCCACCATTTGCATAGCAGTACATTGTGCACTTGTTTAAAGAGGCCTTAAGCGACCGTTTTGAGAAAACCTGCCTTCGTTTTAGAAATTAGCATGCTGTGTGCCATTACAATTCGGTGTTGTAGTCAGTGCCTCCGTACTTTATACGAAGCAGTTTTGTGATCTTATGTGCGTGAGACGCGCCAACGCCGCACGCCTACGAGAAGCCTTCAGTATTTAATTTAAATAAAATTATACCTTTTCTAATAAAACTTAATATGCAAATACAGTGATTAAATATAAGTGTCTATACATAGATTAATAATTAACTAGAAAAAATTGATGATTCATATGAAAGATGGCTACAGTAACGTCCTTATAAAACTGCATTTTTTAAATGCAAACCGTGCCTAAGATTGTGGATGACTAACGTGATTGGTATGTGCGACGGCTCGAATATGAAATTGGATAACTTCGGATTTGAGAGGTTGCAGGTTCGTATGTGTAATATGATATTTACATAGGTATTTATTTACTAAGATTTTTTGTGAGAAGTTGTTTGTCTATGACGACGAAGATGATGTTTAATAGGTAAGTACGTGCCTAAGTACCTACTTTACTGACATTCCGAATAAACACTACCAAAATTCTTCCGGTTAGCACGCAATATTTTTATGAAATATGTAGATGTAAAAAAGTAAGAGTAAATAATATGTATAAAACGTATATAGCAAACCAGCTGTTTTTGTCTGTCTTGAGTCGTTTATATCTTTTAAACCATGAAACAAATTTCGATACGATTTCCTGTATCATTTCGGGCATTTCTTCTGTAAGAGTTGTACATACCTATATATAATTAATGTGTGTTTATACGACTTCCGTTATATTTTACACCCTTACGGAAGACGGCATAAATCATATTCGCCAATTCTGCGCCGATTGTTATGATTCTTACTCCAATATTGATTGGCTAAAAAGGTTTACACCCCCTTGATCCCATTATATAATACCAAAAACGCCGCAATAGAACGTGGTTTTTTTAAGATTATATACAAATTATAGCTAATGTTTATATTAGTAGGTATGTGATTTTTTTTCACAGCTATTTATTAATTTATTACGAGCTTATAACTTTAGATCGCGTAAATTATTTATAATGATCCTAAACTAGAAATCTATTGGGAAAGAGCAAAACTGGCTAATAAATTTTGCTTAAATCATTGGGAGTGCCTTGATTGCGTGAGAATGCACCGTAGAATGGTAGAATTATTCTATTCCATTATAGGTCATCGGTTAATGTACTCGTATTTCGATATATAGCTAGACATATTCGCACTTGGGTCAATAGTTAAGTATCTTACAATTAAGTTACAGTGTTTTTGTGGCAGATACAGATTTATAGGCGACTAGGTAATGCAGGCGACTGTACAAATCGAAGAGGTCCTAACCGAAACGTTGTAATTTTTTTTCAACTCATACAACTGTCGTCCCTAAATAAGTTTGAATTGACGGTTATCTAGCGGTTGCTAAACATACATTTTGTAACAGACTATATAAACTACTTAGATCTCGTAGCACTATCCGTGTGATTTAAAAATATACATTGTGCTAATTTCAAATTTCATCCGTCCAGCCGTTTATGTGTAATTAGGTAAAAAAATCTAAACATACAACTTTCACATTTATAATATGTTTTATATGTAAAAAATGTGAAAATCATAGGGATTATTTTGCCTACATTCGTTTATAATCTACCTAATCTAATAATCCTAGTCTGGAATTAACTAAGAACTGTGTCAAAAGAAAATGGTAGGACATGTGTGATTAATGTATAAATAGGAATGAAATGAAATAAATACTTCAGTATGAAAACTTACATACATTATATAATTGTTGTTGTTGATTCAAACAAAACAGCAGAAAGATAAAAGAATAGTCCATTGCCAATCGTCTACCCTTTCCATTTATAACATTAGAACTATTATTAATTAAATGTTCTTTTCTTTTCAGACATCAGAGCGCAATGCCGGCTGGGAGACTCATCGGGTGCGACTCAACCGCGTTCCAGGTTATGGGTTTGGTATCGCTGTGTCGGGGGGGAGGGACAACCCACACTTTGCGAGCGGTGACCCCTCCATCGCAGTATCAGACGTGCTTCGTGGTGGACCCGCCGAGGATAAATTGCAGTGAGTAAATCTGTAGACTAAAAACTCTTTAGGTAATCACATCCATAGTTGCCCAACCAAATTCTTTCCAGGGGCTAAATCCTTATCCTCCTTCGTCACACATGATTGTATTCTTACCCTTTCATTCATCAATAGTACTCTTTACTCATTTACACAAGCATATTTTGTTTTCTTTTATTTCACACGAGTTTACTGGAACTCGATATGGTGGTAAAGCTTGCACAATGTAAACTACATGAAGAGCAGCACATTAATTTGATTTTAATATACTGGATTTTATTATGGTACTAACTAGCTTACTATTTACTTACTTATTTCAATCAATCTTTTTGACGTCTTTTCAAATTACATAAAAGTTTTGTTAAAATCCATTTAGTAGTGTTTGCGTGAAAGAGTAACAATCTCTAAAACATCTATCCATTCGTCCATACTTACAAACTTTACCATTTATAACATTAGTATAGATTGAATACACCTAACATGACATTTTAGTCCTTCAGAAAGGCAATGGCTGCGAAAAGTTACCACTTACCATCATCAGATAGACCGTCAGATTTTTGTAATTCCGCCTACATTAAGATAATAAATATAAAATTTGACTGCCTCAAATTTAATTTAGATAGTATTCATGAGTATGATTGTTTGTCTGGGTGTTTTCTACATATGTATATTACAAAAATGTAAATATACATTATGTCCATTTATATCAGTAATCTAGTACATTTATACATGGAACAGATGGCTTGTTAGTTGTCACATTTATTTATTATTTGTAATATTAAATATTTTACCATAGTTTTGTCGTAATAAATTATTGGGCTAAAAATTCCTTTCAATCAATTTATATATTTTTTTGTTGCAGAGTAAACGACAGGATAGCCTCCGTCAACGGTGTACCATTAGAGAACGTTGAGTATGCACGCGCGGTACAGGTGCTGAGGGATTCAGGAGCGACAGTCTCGTTGGTGGTACGGAGGCGGGCTCCTGCACCGCCTTCCACCTCATCCACAGCCGTTAAACTGGCATTGACTAGGAACGGAAAGAAAGAAGGCAAGTCTACTTTATGTATGGATTAGAATAGAAATAATCTTTAATAAATAAACTTAAAATAAGCATCTTTGAACGGTCATATTTTTTTATTCTACCACTCATGTGGAACGCATATTCGTCACAAGAATGAGCAAGAAGCTTGTTTGTTGAAATAAATGTTTGCATTACATTTTTAAGATTTTGTTTGAATACAAACTGTCAAATAAGTTTACAAGTAAATAAATAGTTATTTCAATAACAAAATAAATGCTAGTCATCAGACTTGTTTGAGCAGATCACTCCCAACAAGCAGCATTCATTCAATACTAATAAATTGTAGATTATCTTCTGAGTACGTAGATTTATATTAGGACTGAGATTTGTTTTAAGGTCTAAGACATTTGGCTTGATTCATAAATATTAAGTTAAGGAAACGGACGGCTATGCGTTCTGTTTATATATTTCTGTTAGTATGGATGATGAACATAAAGTTAGAAGGCTTATTATGGACACTTGGAAGAATATACCAAATATTATTTTTATTTACTCAACTGTATTGCGAATATTTTTGTATCTGTATACGTTTGTTGGTGTATAATTACTTGATTCTATAACCTTACTCATTTATTTTGTTCACATTCATTCTTTTGTTATTTCTATCTTTAAGTATATGCTCTAGTCTTCGAAAGCAACTCTAAGAAGTGTCTTCAAGTTGATTATAACTGAAAACTTACCATAGCTAGGAAAGAAACAATTAGGTACACCACATATTCATTTATAAAACGACCACAGATTAAATTTATTTAATAATTACTTTGTAAAACATATTTCAGACTTTGGCATAGTCCTAGGATGCAAGCTGTATGTCAAAGAGCTGACGCTCAGAGCGCGGGAACAAGTAAATCAAGCGGGGCAGAGTCTCTGCGAGGGTGACGTGGTGACACGAATAAACAACACCGCTGTTACTGACGCGATGACCCTGAAAGAAGCAAGGAAACTGATAGAATCCTGCAAGGACCGCTTGAATTTAGTCGTCTCCAGGGAGCTGGTCAGAGAGGAGACCGTTACCAACGGGAACTTTCAGAATAATTATAACAGTTTAGGTAAGCTCATAATGGCGGTGCCAACTTTTTTCTTTTTATTTTGGCAAAAGATATTCATTACATAAGATTCAAAATTTAAAAAATAATAGAAACTCCATTTTTACAATAATTATTGAGTGCCGAAAAATGTAACTTTTTCAATTATAACTTTTATAAAATATTAATTGTTCTGTGGTAGAAAAAGCGTTTACATTTTTCCCGGTCAAAATCGTCACAGATTATAAATATTCTCGCGGCCGCTCAACATAATGTGTATGTGTATCTAAATATTACTATTAATATTAACATTATATTATAAATCGGGCCTGAGGTAGACTGTAAAGGGTTTTCTGGGTATCTCAGTTTGACCTGTTTTAACCGCCAAGCAGCTAGCTTTAAAAGTTTTATTTCAATTTAATCGCACCCGATTTAATAGTAAAATTACAGGAGGCATAAAATTTTAGTATTCTGGATCGGCAATGAATCACGGGTATTGCATGATAACGTGATGTTCAGTTATGTAGATGACGGTTTCCACTTCAACCTAAGTGGTCTCGGATAGAGCGGTTTCAGAGGGTCTTTCTCTCGCGTTTAATTAAGATTTCTTAAGGGTCGGCAACTCGCATGTGACTCCCCTGGTGTCTCAGGCGTCCGTAGGCTACGGTAACCGTTTACCATAATAATCTCAGGACTCATTAAGCTAACTAAAGCTTGTACGTTATGGATACTAGATAACTGATACAAAAACATAGATATTTTCTTTTCGTAAATACATACATATTATACATAGAAAACACCCAGACCGATACAAACAATCATACTCATGAATACAAATGTTTGTGCCGTGCGAGGAATCGAACCATCGGTAGTAAGGTGTGTGGAAAGAAGGTGTGCTAAACCGCTGGACCACCGAGGCCTTTATTAGATGGGTTCTATGCTTGTGTGCCACCATCGTGGTATATATATTTTTATAATACATTCTTTTTAATTAAACGTATATTAACAGAGGCCGGTTCACACAACGTGTACAGCAGCGGTACGGAACCGTTGTCATCTGCGTATTCTAGTAGCGGTCAGAACCTTTACGTAGCGGCCCCGGTGCGGACCGAACGCCGCGCCGCGCCCGACATAGATCAGCCACCAAGACCGCCACCGCCACGAACCGAAGGTGATGAATAACATCATTTCAACTTATCCATCATAATTATTATTCACTGGTCAATATAGATATTCTTTATCATTATCTTTCTATTATTCTACACCATTTCGGGTTGTTTTTAATGTGTGTTTAATGTTTTATTAATTTAAGTCTTATTATGAGGAAGTCTTATACAATATTAAACAATTAGTGAATGGTTAAATATTGTATTTTTTATTCCCCTATTTGGAGGTCTGTAACGCTTTACTATACAACTAGTATAGTAAAGCGTTACTAACTTCCTTGTGTATACACACTAGGAAGAAATTGATATACACCAATATTATAGTATAAGGATCCAATTTTATTTAGGGTATACAACACTTCACCGTGAGGTAGCATAGTGATATGTATGTAATATACAAGAACTCCTTTTTTTAATGTGAACTGAGAACTGTCAAAGGTTTCTTTGACTACGTATACATTTTTTTTAATTATTAAATATAATTTTAAAAAGTGTATACGTAATAATGCGCTAGTATGTAGGAAGTATGTAGGTAGAAGCTTTACGACTATCCTTGTGCATTAGTAAGAAATTGATGTACAATAATATTGTACTCTAGCGCACAAATTTGACGCAGACAAAGGTGCGTGGATCAGCTATAGTTCGTTATATAATACAGAATAATATCTTAAGAAATACATTAAAACAATACATATTGAATTAGAAACAGTCTATCTCCGCTATATAAAATGCTAATCCTAATGATAGATATTGTATTTCCAGATTATTACAGTAGTAGAAGACAATTATACGAAGATGAAGGAATGAATAGTCAAAGAAGTAAACCACCGTATGTATATAATATTTCGCTTAATAATAAACTAATTAACACAAAAATGACAAAGTTTTAGTTTTGAAGTTATTTTTTTAAGTATAAAAAGACACCTGAAACCAACTGTTTAATAGCAAAAGTTGGTATATTTGAAAATACTTTCGGCTTTCAAACTTTTGTTAACTACAAAATGTTTCCGTTTTTGATCACAATTGCAAACAATTGATAATTCTATTTTTTTTTAATATATCTTCTATCTTCTATCTACCTTCTCAATTTAGGAATGAACCAAGGCTGATCAGCTTCCAGAAAGAAGGTTCCGTAGGTCTGCGATTGTGTGGTGGAAATCGATCTGGGGTTTTTGTGTCCGGAGTACAGCCCACCAGTCCTGCTGCAATGCAAGGGTTGCAACCTGCTGACAAAATATTAAAAGTAAGCCAGTCCTGATATAATAAATGTATATAGTTAAATTATAAAGTAATGTAGGTATGTGTTGCGCTATTTAGATTAATTATTTGTTCCAAATATGGCTCCTTAACTAAATTTCACCAACTACTGCAACAAATTTTATACCTACATAAACACTTTTATTATTCAACAATATTGCTATTGTTATTTGAGTGTTATATGATATAAGAAGAGAGGGAGAGAGAGGGTTAAAATTTGAAAGTCTAACTATTATCCTTCGTTTATTTTATTATTTCAGCCAACTTTACTTTTCAATATATATTTATTTAAGTTAAAGGATAGCCTAGTCTTTTACATATTTTTTTGTTAAGATCCTGAGATGAGATGTTTGTTAGTTGTAACAAACAGACACGCTTTTGCATTTGTAATATTCTTATGTAATATTAGTATTTATTATTACTTAGGCACAATATTTAATGTTTTCTTTTAATAAATATCAGTATGTATAATGTTCCTTCCTTAGTATTGCTTAAATTATTATTTCTCTTGTCTTTTGTAGGTGAACGATATGGAAATGAAGGGAGTAACCCGCGAGGAAGCCGTCTTATTCCTATTAAGTCTTCAGGAGCGCATTGACTTAATCGTTCAGCACTCGCCAGACGAATATAATGCAGTTGCTAGTGGGCAGATGGGTAAGAATATTACCAATTATTATGATAAATAGAATTATACATTCAGGAACATTATCCTAAATGGGGTTAATCAGAGGGTAATCAAAATTAGTACTGGCTGTAATACTTGGGTATCTTTATATTGTGATGACAGGATCGGTGGTGAGAGTAAACACACACACAGTAGGGTTGGAATTTGTGTATTTTGATTCTTACATATTCATACTTTAACTTGTAGTAGTTATTAGGACTATATATATTAAGCGCTAGGTGAATTGCGTGAACCAAGCTAAAGAGACTTATCTAACGTACGCATTACACTGCGTACTAAAAATACAAATATTATATCACGATACCTTTCCATTTTGGTTTCATATATGTTATGTGTGTGTATATATATGTTAATCATGATTTCTGAACTCATCTAATTCGATATGTTTCCGAACGTCAAAATCCTGTAACCTATAGATATTTGTTACTTGTTTGAGAGTATTTTACTACATACTATTATAAATGCGATAGTTTGTAATTATGGATGGATAGATGGATGGATGGAAGTTTCTTTTGATGAAAACTCTTTCACGCAAAAACTACTACGTGCGTAATAAAATGATCCAAAAAAATTATTATCGTTTCGTATCATTTAAAATAACACTGAAATAGTCACAAATAGTGACAATATAATAGAAATGGAAACCAACTGACGGCCCACCCAATGGTGGTACGATATAACAGTTGCCTATATACACGAACAGCACTACGGACAAAACGTTAAGTGCCGACACATGCGTTAGCATTCCTGAGTAAAAACTACGATGTAATGACTATAATTTCACATTGTAATTTCACGTCAACCTAAACATGTCTTACAAAACAAGCTGCCTGGCTTGGCGGGTAAATTAGTGATACTAAAGTAAAGACAACTTTTTTTTAAGGATATCCCGGTACATAGTATCATTGGAATTTCTTATGTATTTATATATTTTGATTTGCAGCAGGCGACTCTTTCCACATAAAGACTCATTTTCATTACACGGAACCGACGGATAACGAGATGTCGTTCCGGTGCGGCGATGTGTTCCACGTGGTGGATACGTTACATAATGGAACTGTTGGAGCATGGCAGGTCTTCAGGATAGGTTAGTATAGATTTATGTCTTAATACAGGTCTGTCCACACTTTACTTGGGATGAACAATATACATAAAATAATTCCTAAAATATATGTATCTTGAGTATGTATGTATAATATACAAGAATTTGTCTAAATAGGTTAAATAGTTTCGGAGATTACTTCACATACATACAAACTGACAATAGTCAACTCAGTTTTTCTAATAGCAACTTTATCAAGTTATTTAGCACTGTCTACTTGAAATACATATATGCATATGTTACTCGCCTATATGAAGCTTTCTATAAATGAAATAAGGTTTAAAATCGAACGTCTATATTTTGAATTTATTCATTTTCTATTTTTAATAATTACTTGTAGTTAATTTACTCTTAAGTTGAGTTTAAACTGTGATATAGTAGAGATTCCGTCGAATTTTGTATATTAATTGATCTAAATTAAATTTAAATTATAACAATTTAAATTGACGGTCACACTTTATAGTGGCCAAATATAAGTATTATCTGCAATAATGATCTAAAATTTAATATATACAGGTCGTAACAATCAAGAGGTACAAAAAGGCACGATACCAAACAAGGCTCGCGCGGAAGAGCTGGCGACGGCGCAGTTCAACGCTACCAAGAAAGAAATGTCGGGCAACGACGGGAAACATAACTTCTTCAGGCGGCGCCGCTCCACGCACAGACGCAGCAAGAGTCTTGGCAAGGTACTCAAATAAAATCTAAATTTAAATAGTTTTATTATACTACTATGGATGGCAAATAGAGATACGTTGTAAACCGTTATGGTAGCCTATGAACGCCTGAGACCACGGTCACAAATAAAATCATAATTCGAACAGTTTTTTTGTATACTACGATGGTGGCAAACAAGCATATGGCCCATCTAATGGTAAACGGTTGACGTAGCCTATGACACCAGTCTATGAACGCCTGAGACACCAATTATAATTGCTTTTTAGTGCGTTTATGAATGTTTCTTATAAATTTAGTTACTTATACTTTACTACTAGTACTTTATAATAGTGTAATATGTAGTGGCTTTATAAATGCTTCGTATTTTTTATGTTTATTTACATTATGTACTTCATATGGGTGTCTATGTCTAACATTAAATGAAAATCCCGTGCACGAACAACTATTGCCATGCAGGTTTATCATTTAATTAATAGTTTAATAGGCTTTTCTCAATAAATATGCTAACATAAGTTTAAAAACATACAGACAAACAGAAAATTTTAACTATATATAAAAACAGGAACACTGGGACGAGGTGGTGTTATCGGACAGCATCAGCAAGTTCCCCGCGTACGAGCGTGTGGTATTGAAACAGCCGGGGTTCGTGCGGCCCGTCATAGTACTAGGCGCAGTGGCTGATGTCGCTCGCGAACGGCTGCTTGCTGAAAGTCCGGATAAATTCGGCTCGCCCAGTAAGTATTTTTGTACTACGATGGTGGCAAACATGCGTACGATCCATCTTTTTTTTTTATACTACAATGGTGGCAAACATGCTCACGACTCACTTTTTTTTCTTTTTATACCACGATGGTGGCAAACAAGCTTACAGCCTATTTGATGGTAAATTCAAATAAACTTATATAACAAATATATTTATTTGTTAAACTTACTGATACAATAAATAGTACAATTATTTCACCTGTATACTCACTACCTACAATAATAAATGTAATACATTAAACAATAAATTAAGTAGCTACACATCATCACGTCATATATAATGCTACAGTGGTGAGGATATCCATCGACCTACATCATAAACAAAAGTCAATACTGCTTGAAACGGATTTTAATACAGTTTTCGTCAATACATAGAGTTATTAATGGGGAAGGTTTACATGTTTGATACATGCATTTTATAAGCAAAGCCAAGAAATCTAAAGATCTGTAATGAATCCGTGCGAACCTGTGGCGGTTCACTAATGTTTTATAAGAATAAATTAATTAAATTATACTTTTAGATTGTACAAAATATGTTTTTGTTTTTAGAAATGGACAACTCTTTAGAAGACAGCAAAAACAAATCTGCCGGTATCATACGACTATCGAGCATCAGAACAATTATGGAGAGGGGTAAACACGCCCTCCTCGACATCACCCCAAATGCTGTGGACAGATTAAACTACGCCCAGTTCTACCCCATTGTGATATTTCTAAAGGCTGATAACAAACATATTATTAAACAATTAAGAGCTGGCCTGCCAAAGTAAGTTCATGTAAATTATTTGCCTACTTTATTAACGGTTCAAAATAAGTAATATTTATTTTTCATATATATATAAGAAAAATCAGACTTATATTATTTTAAAATAGATATTAATAATAAAAATGTCCTCAAAAATTGTAGCATTTTCTGAAATACAATTAATGTACCCATGACAATTATTCCAATTGATATAGTCAAATCGGAAGTAAAAAGAGAAAAAAAACTTAATTGAATTAATAACCTTCTTCATTTTGAAGTTAGGTAAAAAAACTACTACTAAGGTAGTGGATTCTTATTAAGATATAAAGAAAATGGTATCTTACACGTACATATCTACATTTATTATATACTAGCTGCACCCGCGACTTCGTCCGCGTAAAATAGTGACCTTGAGCAAATAATAAAAAATATATATTAATAATCTAACACAATAAAAAAGTTTCATCGTTCTAGCTTCAAAAATGAAATTTCCATACATAATTCCATACAATTCAATCAACAGCCAAAAACTATGTTTCAAACTACTATCTTTAAAATTTATTCCATACATATATATATCTCCCCTTTCATTATAACAAGTTTTTTGTTTTTTTTAATGCTACTTATATTAGTGTCATCATGTACCAATGATTCAAATTTGATTATGGCAGTCCTCTTATAACAGTCAAAAAATGGGTTTCAAGTTTCTAGCTTTAAAAAATGACAATACATGCATACAACATTTTAACTCCTCTTTTGACCCTTACAACCCATTTTCGTTAATTATATTTAATCAATACGCAATAAAATAAGATTGAAGCTTAAACTTTTAAAAAATTCCTCTTTCAGTCTCTTATAACCCTTTTTAGCATTAAAAAGTAACCTATGTCCTATTTCAAGATCTAGACTTTAAATTTCATTTAAATCAGTTCAGAAGTTGCTTTTAAGACAGACAGACAGAGTCACTTTCACTTTCATAATATTAGTAAGGTATTTATTAAATAAACTGACCCAAAAAAGCGTAAGAAAAAAGCTTCATCGTTCTAGCTTCAAATATGACGAATTTCCATAAAAACTTTTATCTGCTATTTTATTTTACCCCTTGAATGGTGACAATGTGATATTTACAAATTTAAATGTCATATTTATTTATATTTAATAAACAGTTTAAACATTTCTTTAAATTCTTTTGAAAATTGGTGGTCCAGTTGGCTAATAACATAATAAAATTTTGTTAAATCAAAATAATAGATGTGATATTCAGAAACTATCCCTCTACTTGCAACCAATCTCTGACTCTACAATGGAGAAACGCGTATTCCGAACCTGAATAGCTCGGATGGAACGGTAGATGTTGTTTCTTCCAAGGAAATGTTGTTCATATGTATTGACAACATTTTAAATATTATATGTTGTTTTATTCTTCAAAAATATGAATAATATGTTCTAACGCTCTTGTCCAAGAGCAGGGTCATCAGTTATAGGCTATACCAGAATTATATTTATGTATTTATAAAATAAAATTGCAGAGCAAACGTTTATTCATTTAAATTCATAAGGAGACAACGGATTGACAATAATCAGTTGCGCGCGCTTATACAAATGACATATATGTTTATTTATGACATATGAGCGTTAATAAGTCGCATATCTAGTACAATACTGGTGTAATTCAAAAATTAAAAATTTTTGAAAATAGGAATAACACAATTATAAAGTAGACTTTCCAAAATATCTAATTTTTTAGTTAAGCCATTATTATAATAAGTGTGTATTCAACCGCATAAAGATAACCTTGCATTGCCATTTTCAACCCCTTACAACCCTTTTTTCGCATTAAGAAGTAGCCTATGTCCTTCCTCGGCGTCTAGACTATATGGGTACCAAATTTCATTTAAATCAGTTCAGTAGTTTTGGCGTGAAAGCGAGACAGACAGACAGACAGACAGACAGACAGACAGACAGAGTTACTTTCGCATTTATAATATTAGTAAGGATATATATAGAGGTCATTATAACAAGTGTTGAGCTTTAGCAAACTGATTCAAATTTGCTTACAGCTCTTATAGTCATTTTTACAAGTGAGTTTAAGACAATAAGACGTACAATACAAGACTAATAAGTCAACAATGTATGTATATAAAACAATTTGTCTACAGATCTGCTCACAAATCCTCAAAGAAACTTCTCGAGCAGTGCCAACACATGGAGCGCGTGTGGGGTCACGTGTTCACGCACACGATAACTCTCAGCGAAGCCAATCAGAACACGTGGTTCACCAAACTGATGGAACTGGTACAAAGGACCCAGCAGCAACAGCTTTGGGTGTCGGAGACTAAGGTGAGTAATTGGCGGGCGATGTTGCACTTGGGGCAAAGCTTAGGTGGTGGTTTCGCAGAACAAAGAATTTTCTTTACCGTTTTACTATTAAAATATTGTGATTTACTCACTAGTAACTATTGGGAGGTTTCTGAAATTATATGTCGATGCAGCGTACTTGCTATTTATTATTATATTATATTTAGATCCTATGCGTGGGGACACGAAGGTGTTGCCATTAATATCGGGCCAAACTACAAATTATTTAAATGAGTTTTCTAAATTTATATGTTAAAGCTAACATTAGTAATATATAATGTATAAAGTGTATGTAAATAACATACACTTTAAACGTTTTTAATGATACCCTTTATTTACGATCAACTCTAAAAACAAAATTTTAATTGAAAAATTACGTTTCATTTTAGAAATTTGTAAAGACAAAAATACTTTTGACTGGTGTTTACAGCTTAAAATTTTATCGTATACAGAAGTATAGCTCGAGTAGCATAGAACAAAGAGTTCAGTATCCCTTATACAGAATATAAACTCTTTAAGTAAGTTATGTCTTTAGATACTCTCTTAAAATTTATTCAGGTAGACTTTGTATGAAGTCGTCTGCCTGCACACCTCAGTCTCATCTAATTCCTACGTTATGCAGATAACTTTAAAATGTATATTTCGATTGGAGTGTGAAATATGACAGTGAAATTACAGGGTACGAAGGAATGAAATATTAGTCGTCTGTAAATGCAACGTATGAGTAGTACTATAAATGTCACTTGGTGAAATGATGTCCGTCGTGTTGTTCCTATATGTATATAGGCGATGTTGCCACTTACCGACAGACAAGCCCCGTTAATGTCCATTTCATGACTAATACTTAGAATAATGTTAAGGTTGCATAATGGTTGACAATGCGCACGTGACACCCCTGGTCTTTTAATGCGTACATAGGTACGTACGGTACCGTTTACCATCAGATGGGCCGTATGCTTGTGTCCCAACGTCATAGTATAAAGATCTATACAGTTTGTGTATGATGTTTAATTTATTTTATATCTTTGTTCTGTGATCTAATAACATATTATATTATTTGAAAATTTTAAAAGGTTAATAAATAATTGTTTTTAAGTTCTATGTTAACATTGTTGTCTGTCAAAACAGTAAACGCATCATGCTTCGAGATGATCGCTTGGTAAAGGCAAATTGGTGCATTTGGTAAACTTATGTGCTATATAAATACTATTAGTATCTTCATTTTATAATCTGTATTAATGAAATATAGGTATTTGCTATAATTTTACATTTGAATACGGTAAACTCGAGAATATAATTTTGAGTATTCTGTATTCAAAAAATCCTTTTGTCTTTTAATTATATCAGATAAGAGAATACTTCTTTCTTTCTTAGAAGTTATAATGTATATATATAACTGTTTATTTAAACCTAGCCAATTAATTATACTTATCTATATATTTTTATATTTAAATAAATAAATTTCGTAAAATATCTTTTGAATACACTGATTTAAATTTTAGATATAAATATGATGTTAAATTAATTAAATATTTCTAACTTAAAAATTAAACAACTCATTTTGGAATACAGAATACTCAACCCGCGAAAAAGTTACATCTTACTTGTTTTTTAAGTAATTGAAGTTTATTTTACTTACCTATATGTCATTGCAATTATTTTACATAAAACATACATGTATTAACAAGTTCGTTTCTGTTCTGTCTTGTGGCGGTGTAGCACGTTGAACTGGTGTCGGACATTTACTTCCCCATCCCGCCGTCTCCATACCCCGCATTCTATCCCATCTCCTACCCTCTCAACTTCTACCCCCAATCCCCACAACGGCCCATACACTCACAGCCCATGCTTCCATCTAACTCTAACAAAAGCACGAAACGCCGCGATCAAGTTTACGATACTAACAGAAATCATCTAGTGCCATATTATTACTCTGAAACCATAGCACCTTGCATGCCTAACAATGTTTATAGTGTACCTAATACTTATTTAGCTAAGCATAGACACACCTTTGCTAGTTATTCATATGATGATAGGACTCAGGACGATAAGAGAAAGATGATAGGATATAGAGTAAGTCCTAAATCGCAGACTGGAATGAATAGTCCAGAGATTACACAAATATTTGCCAAGTGTAATGTTCCACAGCCTAATACATTCAGGCCATACAGTGTTCTAGAGACATCCACGAAATCCCCTATTCCAAATTTACAGAGACCCTCATCTGTTGTTCCTATAACAGAGCAATTTAGACCAGCATCAGTATTTTTCCAAAATGGTAACGAAATAAAAAAATCTAATGACGTACCTGAATGGAAGGCTCGTCTTCAGAAAGAGATGCCAAAGCCGCAAAATAAAGTTTTAGATAGGCCCTTGAGACAAATATGCAAAATACCTAATTGCAAATGTAACCTCAATTCTATGTCGGACACAGGACGTTCAAGCGAAGTACGGACTCTTCCAACAGGGTCTGAAAGATCGCTGAACAAAATAAAGAATCTATCTTTGCCGACTTTAAAATTAGAAGATATAGAAAAGAACGAAAAATGTGATAAATCCGGAGCAGAGAGAGATGTCGCGATTGTTATGAATAAACCTATATCTGAACAGCATTTAGGCTATGTTTAGGTTTGCAAATTATCAGTAATTATTACAGTTACCAATTAGTATAGGCACAATTGTTATCTAACTTGCATTTCTTAATTATTGCTTATACATTATTATTATATGTATATATGCAGCACCATAGTTATCTGCTTATTAGTTCTGCCTACATAATTTACTGTTAATGTCTTTTAATTGTTAAGTTTGATTTTGTGTGTGCGTGTTTTTAAATTTGTAAATTTTATTTTCAATTACCAGTGTTAAATACCATTTATGAGTAATCAACATTCAAATGATTAAGAATTTTTAAAAATTAGTTCTAAATTATCTACACATTTCCTGTTCATTAGTAACTAAGTAATTTTATTTTGAATGTTGATTCAAACAGTGTGTAAATTATTCAAACCATTAATCATTCACGGACGCTAAATCCCAGTTTTAGTTTTCGTAACGATATATCTGCAATCATTCATTTGTCTTGTATTATCACCCCATTCCATAAACCCACCCTACCGGATGACGCTGCGAAACAAAATGCCCGACTTTCACGTAATGGCGGATTGGCGGGAAACAGAGACCCGAGCCGTTGTCCGACGACTTCTTGTTCTCAATGACATCGAGCACAGAAAATAGATTGTCGTACGCGTCGAGTCCCGAGAGCGACTTGGAAGTCAGCCCTCCGCCGGCACCAAGATTAGTCAAGTCATCTTCAGACCCTTCAATAGCTACCACACAGGACAATATGGATCGGGACGATGACATGAACCACATGGTCGATGCTGTTCCACCTCCGTACACGGTGGGTATCTTTCATTATTGCATCATCTACAATCATTCTATATACTTAGATTCATCATGTATAAGGAAGAGAAGTTTCCAGAATCACACCATCAATAAAACTACTAACTCTTCACTCAAATAGGTATCATAACTACCAATATCGTGTTATTTCACCAAATCACTCATAAATTATTTAATTTTTGATAAAACATTCCTTTACCTGTTAGGCAATGTTCCTCTCCTGTTAATATATATCAATTTTCATAATTATTGTCTAACTGAGAATATTTTAAAATATACAGTCATTTTTTAAATATCTGATGGTTTTAAATATAAGAAATGTATATTTACTATGAGTTGACATTAGTATTTATTAAAATCAATCACCCTAACTTTTGTTTCTTAATTTCACTACAATAATGAAGTTAATTAAAATAAAAGCCGTTTATCGAATACTACAACACTATTATTTAGTGTACATAATTGCGTTCAATTTCAAAATCTCCTTATTCTTGTAAAATATATTCTAACCTCCTTTATTTGCAATAAAAAAATAAAAATTAAAGGTCACTGAACCTTTATCATTTTATATTAACAGCAAGGCGGCTACAGCGATAGTAAATACGGCTTCTCCGCAAACACTAACGGCACCAACCACCAAGCTCAACACATGGCGAATGACGCACCGTACCAATGTAACCCTATGACGCACTCGCCACCACACTCACCGTTGTACGGCACCGTGCCGGAGTTACCACCGCGGGGTACGGTGACCAGGCCGGCTGGTGGAGTATTGTTACCAGCGCCGCCGCCCGGACGACCGCCACATACACTCAGACACAATCCAACAGTAAGCACAGATTATGTAACAACTCTTACCACTTTTTAATATTATAAACGCGAAATTTTGTGAGTATAGATTGGTGTTTGTTACTCTTTCACGCAAAAAGAACTAAACGGATTTCGATGAAACTTTACAGTAATATAGCTTATAGATCAGAATCATATATAGGCTATAATTTAAAACGATATGTAAATTGGGCGATAAAAAATAAAAATAAATTTGTATAGTGCAGATTAGGCAGCGAAATTACAGGATAAGAGGTATGACATCTTTCCTTCCTTTGGAAGAGCAACGCATGGTATCTACCACAGGTGTCATATTACAAAATAATATCCGTAGTGTTGTAGTATAAAAAAAAAGTTAGCCATAATAATAAATGTATATGATTAAAATTTAAAATATTTTCAGAATCGGCCAAGTGCACAAGAGCGTTTATTTGGTCCGCCTAAAGAGGGTGGAAGTGATGAAACTGCTACGTACACCGCTCGTCCCACCAGTATGATCATCCAGCCGACTCAAGGCCAAGGATCATTGGATAGACACAGGCATACTTCCAATCCGGTAATTGGTCGACATTGAAATTATATATACTATATTTTTTTTCTTTTTCAAAGGCTTGGGTCTTTAGTGCATTTGCCATAATCAAATGGGGAGGGGGGAATATTAATAAGTATAGGAAAATTTTGGATCTTAGGATATGGTATAATAATGTTATATTTTTTTTAATGTAATAGATCTTATAATGGATATGATATATGTATAATACCACACAAACATTTAAACTTAACTGCGACATAAACACGTCGCTAGGCATATTATACTATCAAATGTAATGAAATCATATTTAAATATCTACCAATTCTATATACTTTTTTTTCTTCTTTATATCATTAGTATAGGATTAATATTGATTTAGGATATTAGATTCGAATCTAAAATATATTATTGTTCACAGCAGAGTTCATACGATGGCACACCGTCTTACGAATACAATACCAATAATGGCTTGGGCATGGGCCGACTTCCGCCTAACGCACCAGACGACCTCAAGGTGGCGCCACCGTCTGTGTTAGTACCGAACTTATTTTATTTTGTTATATATTAACATACTTGTAAGTAGATAGATGCTTATTTTTTTTTGCATTCTCAATAAAATACTTTAAGTATTTTTTGTATTTATCAATTACAATTAAAGATACAAAAATATCTATTTTTTATATAATTTTAGAATGGATTTAATTTACTGGTTTAGTAAAAATATTGGTATATTTTTTAACGTGATGTTATAATTTTACTTTGCATTCTAAATATATAAATTAATCCAAAAAAGTCTAAGAGTCTTAGTTAAAACTATTGGGTGGATTTCCCAAAATTTAAATTTTTTAAGCTCATATAATAGAATTAAGTGTGTGATATGTGGATGTTATGTCTAATTATAGTAATTTTATAATTTTAGCAAAATGGAACCGCCTCCACCGCAGAATCCAGCCACTATGGCAACACAAAGTCCGCAACGGAACTCTAACTCGCACGAACACAATTCACTAGATTATAGAAATTCAGACAATAGCTATAGGTACGTGCAATTTCTTGATATATGTTAATAGTTAAAGAAAATACATCATTTATTAGTCAACACTGCTATAGCAAAGCGAGTGGAGAATTAGCTTTTCAATTCGTACGGCCGCGGTGATGTAGCTGTTCTTAGGATTTCGCTTTACTACCATAGGGTGCAGATTCGATTCCTACCACGGTACAAACATTAGTATTCATGAGTATGATTGTTTGTATCAGTCTGGGTGTTTTATGTATATATTATGTGTGTACTTATTTCCAAAAAAATGTAGCTAAGTAATTATATCAGTTGTCAAGTTCTGATTAACTTGGGATTAGATAACGTTGTGTGAATTGTCCAGACATACTTCTCAAAAAGGACATCTTATGAAAAGGGATACTTTCATGTTATTTGCATTTTGCATATAGAATGTGAGTGAAGATAGAAAACTATGGATGTATTCTTTTTTAATTTTATTTTTTTATTTATTAGCACACAAAACAGATTGCAATCGGTACAAGAATTTGATTAGAAGCGTGTAGTTTGATACAAAACTGGATTGATTTCCAACACTACGTGTGCCTATTTAGTGTTGGATTTCAATCCAGCTAAATTATAGCTAAATAAAAAAGCTGAATTATATATATGCATGCAATATACGCTAGATAAGGCAAAACTTAATTTGTATACTACAATTTTATAACTAGATGCGGAAACTGAAAGTAAATTTATCCGTTGTTTCCGTTTTTCAATTGTTTTAATTTTGAAATATTATGTGTATATAGGTCCCCGGAGAACTACAGAAGTCCGCAATCGAATCGTCCCCCACCAATGAACGGCAACAGTCCGCATACGCCTCTACATGCGCGTGGGCCGTCACTGCCTAATGTACCCACTAATGACCACGCTAAATACAGGTAACACTATATTGGTTTTATTTATATAAAAAAAAAATATTTATTTTGACTTGGCAACACACCTGCAAATATTCAGGCGATTTGCAGGTGAACGCCCGTGAACACCTGTAAATACTCTCAGGGTATGTACAGGTGATCATGGGCGTTTGCCCTTTTACTATAAAAAATACTTTATTTTTTAAGTAAAGAAATAAGTAGGTAAGTAAAAAAATTATATTAATAAAAAAAAATACGTTCATATGAACGTAATTTTTTTTTATAATCTTTTTTATTTTCGCTTATGCTACTAAAATGTCCTACATGAATAAATGATTTTTTATTTGAAATAGTGTATCATTTGTTTGAAAATCCGGTAGACTAAAATAATAAATCGAAATCATCGAAAGTTAAGCGGTGTTCTATACCCCTGTACCACCGGGGCCGTAAATTTATTTTTATTAATTACTATATAGCGCGCGGACGAATTCGGCATCACAAGCCGATTACAGCGGACGAGGAGGGGCTCCAGTGCCGCCTTACAAGCCTGTACCACCGCCGAAACCCAAACATTACAGACCACCAGACAACCAGCACCATCCCAGGAATGGGGTAAGTTTTATGATAACACTAACTGTGCCTGCGGTTTTACCCACATGAAATTTAGAGCCTGTGTGTTATTGTGATATGTAAGTTCTATTATTGTAAAGTTTCATGAAAATGCACTCAGTTGTTTTTACGTGAAAGAGTATCAAACATGCATCCATCCATCCATCCATCCACACTCACAAACTTCCGCGTTTATGGTATTAGTAAAATTGTGTCGTCTTAATATGCACTTTACGGCACATAAAATACGTACAAAAGTATATTACCTTAATTCTATAGAATTGTTACTTGGTATATATATTTAGTGAGGTGAAGTAGGTATATATAATATGTATTACATAGTCGACAGCCACAAAAAAACATATGTTGTTTTAATTTTGTTGCCTATGTCGAGCAAATTCAACACTAAACATGTCCAAATATATGAATCTAAAATGGCAGGTCGCGAGCCTACCGGTGCCTGTCAATAAAAAATAAAAGACGGATGTTATAAACATGACTCGAGTTCCTGCATTGGCATTATAGTTCCGATTATGGTTTTTGTTGTATGAGTTGTTTCTACGTGATTTTATATACAATTTTATAAATTTACTTCGGATATCCCGGTGTAATGTGGAATTAGTGTTATTAATATAACATATAATGAATAGAACATGGAGCCACCACCAAACGCGGGTCCGCCAGGTCCCGGCTCGCCACACCAAGCCGCACAGGCTGCACAGGCCGCACAAGCACAGGCTGCACAGGCGGCGCGAGGATACGGACAGCCGCCGCACTACTCCCACCAGCACTCACACTCGCAGCCCTCACACCGTCCGCACACGCACTCTAACTACCATCAGGTAGTGTTGCACATTAAATTTTCATTTCCTTAGTTCTTTCTGTCTACACCTTTAAATGATAGCCTGATTATTCTTTATACAAAATTGCGATTCTCTTATCATTCATAAATACTGACCTGTAGAGATAGCTGTAAGAGTCGAAATAAAATAAAATAAAAATTAGCAATAATGGAAGTAACCTGTTTAATTAAAAAAAAAAACAACCTGAAGATATTTCATAACATATTTGTAAATAAGATACGATTATATTGAGAAAATTATATATAAATAAAATAAGGTAAAAGTAGATTCAAACTAAAAATATAATATTATTTCAGCAAAATATGTATGGAACTCAAATGCCTCCCCACTCACCGCCTTACTCTGGCCCGCCATCACATCATCGCGCCATCAACCTTCCACACAATCCACATCTTATAGGTAAGTTTTTTATTTTTATACTTCAATACATACTTCCTGTACATGTTCATTTGTTATTATTACAACTAGTAGTCGAAATTTGACCAAAATAAAAAATACAAAAGATCTTTGAACCAGTAATAAGAATTAAACAAAAGAGTATATACCTATGCGTATGTGTATCAAATAGTGTGTGTCACGATTTTTTTTATTTATTTAATGTATTTTACGGATTAATTCACAAAAAGTATTAGTATTGAGTATATGGTCATGTTTTGACAATTTGAATTTCGTGTTTTTTAAACTAAAATAGAAGAAGGAGCCAGTACTCTCTTGGATGACGTAATTTATAGATGCCGCCTAAGATATATTATATATAATAACTAAAGTCTTCTTTTGCTTCAACAGATTTAGCTGGAAGTAGAGAACAACGCGGTTCAGCTTTTGAACTATATAGGAAACCACAACACATGCATAACATAAGGTAGGCGATATTTTATTCCACATGACATTAGTCACAGCACTAGCTAGGGTTTTTGTTAAAATTGCACCCCATTATTCCATACAAATTCATAGATTTATGTTAGATAAATTATAATCAATAAATAGAGTGAGTATAGAAATACGTTATTGTTAGACACAAAAAGATTTAGTAAAGAAAATAGACTAGAATTTTGATGCATGTTCCCAAGAATTAGACATGTTTATTTATGAATTTAGGTTTCTATATAGTATATCATATAGCCCTGTACAATTTGCTCTAACATGCAAACACCAATCGCTTCACAAACGACTAACAATGTCTTGTTGGGCCATAGTATTAGTTATGGTTATTGTATGGTTATAAACAATATACATATATTTTGTAACATATATTTGTATATCTGGGCGTAAGTCTGTAAATTGTAATAACATCATAGATAATGTAATGGTAATCTACATATTAGAATATTTTGAATTGTTCGTATCAAAACGATTATTGGCAGTGCGTGTCTGCATTTTAGTGCAACTTGATGATTTAAATGAAAGCATATTGAACTAAAGTACTCCTATAGCCTTCTTTTTACTTATCCATTATATTTTTCTACACTTAAAACTATTTTTGTCGTTATATTCTTTAATTTGTACTAATACTTTGTTATTTATTTCTATCATACATGTAAGGAGATATATACTATATTCTTTATTTATTTTGTTTTCATCTACATCTCTGTTGCCAGTTATTTCAATATGCTTTTAACAGAATCACAAAATTCATTTGAAAATTGTCATTACCATGTGACATTTCAGATTCTTCATTATTTCCTTTTTCTAACATTTCATATTTCGGTCTTATTGAATACTGAATCATCTGAGGTGTCCATATATTTAAATCATTGAGTAACTAAGTGGGTATTTGGTTGTGGGTTTCCGCAGCTCGTCCGATGTCATGAACTCGAGTGCGGAGCGCGACGAGACCTTTTCACCAAAAACTAAAAAGAAATTATCCAAAAAGCCATCGTTTATTAAAAACGCAGTACTAGATCTCTTCCGTTCGAAAACGAAAAATTCGCAGAAAGTGTCTCGACAGAAGTCACTATGTGAGAGTGACTTACAGCAGAGACCAATGTATCAAGCTCCTATGCTTAGGAGGGAGAAGTCAGATTTGGGCGATTTAAGTATTCACATGAGAAATACACAAATTCGAAATCAGATGTTGCACCGAAGCAACTCATCATCATGTGAGAAGCCCGTTTTAAAGCCTATTCTAAAAAGGCAAAGCTCATTTTGTGATGACAGAAACGGATCCATTTGTACAGTTAGAGATTACGACGCTAAGCCTGTCATCAAAAGTCTGAGAAGACAAAATTCTATGTGTGACATTGAAACCGAGCCTAAAGTTACCCCATTGTTACGTAGACAGAATTCTCTTATTGATTATAATAGGAGAGGGATTTATGGTCAGACAAGCAATTTTAATATGATTACCAAAATTGATCCAATCTACCAAAGACAACAACAAATAAAACATGAACCCTTTCATCCTACACAACCACTACCTCCAGAACCAATATACCAAAGTAAAGACCATATTATTTATGATCCAATTCCAAAGCCAAGAAGGACTTACACTTCTGTATATGATACATCAAGTGAAAATCCATATGCTAGTAGATCTGAAGTTTCAATTCATAGTTATGAAAACCCTTACGGCAATCATCAAACAGTGGCAATGCCTTTACTTGATCCCCCTTATGCTACCAAAGCAGAGTGTATACGGGAAAGTCCCTATGTTACAAGACATGAAATGAAAACAGAAAACCCATATACAACGAAACAAGAAGTGATGAGGCAATCTGAATCTTTTTATAGCGAATCTCCATACTCTAGTAAAGAGCAAATGACAAGGCAAAGAAATGTGTCTGAAAGTCCGTATTCGACAAAGGAAGAAATGTTACGTCAAAGATTTTCTGAATCACCTTACAATACAAAAGATGAATTATTAAAACAAAGAATGGATGGTTCTTTTACATGTAAAGAACCTATTTATGGAAGAAAAACGTATGATCCACCACCTAGTACATCATGGTCTGAAAGCTCATATGCAATAAGACCCGATAGAAGGCTACAAACTCCTGTAAGTTTTCCGGGCAGGATTTCCCCTATGAGTAAATGTATGAGTGAACCTCCATACGCTACAAGAACAGAAATGCTAGAAAGAATAAACCAGACAGAGTCACCATATGCCACAAGATCTGAAGTGAAATCCAGTTGTTCTGATACTCACTATAGTTCTTCGCATGATATGCCTGAATTCAGACAGGAAATACGGCCAGCTTCTGCAGAATGCACTTATGTATCAAAACAGGAAATTTTGTCACAAAAAGCGGCTCTATTGGCTAGCAAAGAGTCTAGTTATGGTATTAGATTAGAAGAAAAATTGGAAATAATAAAACAAAGAAATCAAGCAAAGAAAGATATGATCTATCAAACACGAAAAGAATCGAACGAAAGTGATTCAGCAAAAATAAGAGAGCCACTCTACGTATCAAAAAGAGAATTAAAAGACAGTGTTATTTACGAATCCCACCAAGAAACAAAAGAACCACCCCAAATAGTTGATCAGGATAGTAGTGAGCGAAGTAGTCCTTATGAATTAAGTGACGCTAATCACTTATCTCGCAGAGAACCAGTATATCAATCAAAATCTGAAGTACAAGGCAAGACCCCATCGATAGAAAATGAAACATTCCAAGAGATAGACTTCTCCAAGTTAAGATTAACTGACTCAAAAACAGACGCAGAAAAAGAAAAATCGCTAAATAACGACGCCAATGTCTTGATAGGTGAACCGATGTATGCCCCAAGGTTACATGGTAAAGCAGATCACATTTCTAATGCTCTGAAAGTCACAACTTCTCCTATTCCATATGAATCTACTACATCAATGGAAACTCATTACGCGTCTGAATGTAGCATGAATTTTGAAAATAAACCACAGAGCACCCCATATACATCTCAAGATTTAAATGAACGATCCTTAAAGCCTAATAGAACTGTAACTTTTTGTGAAAAAATCCTTGAGAAAAGTCCAGAGTCTAGCCAAGAGAATTCGGAAAATCTGTCTAATAGTCAGAATGATACTACGGTTATTAATCAGAACACAACTGTACAGGCGACATCATCTGAAGAGAATGAGCCTGGCAATAAAACTGATGAAGTTGAGCCTGACGGGCCTCATACTACTTGGGGTATATTCGATAGCGAAGGTGGCATTTTAGAAGACAGACAATGGGGTGTATCTTTAATTATTCCTCCCAAAGCAATTGCGCCAGGAATCAAGCAAAAGATATATTTTACGGTGTCAGATCCAAGGCTCAGCCAACGAGTGGGGGGACCTCCGATCGATATGGACAACGGTAATGCTTTCATAACGGGGCACGCTCCTTGTAGTATCGTAGACAGCACTTACTAATTGGCCATTAATGTTTGCTAATGAATATGAAAATTGAGAATTGAAAATTGTGTTGTAAATGGGAATTGTTTTGCAACTGCAGACAATGATATCTGTTGTGACATAGAAATGGTTATCTTGTATATTATACTTTGCATGATGTTTATTTATAGCATGCGGGGTATATTCTATCTATAATAATTATTTTATATAACAGTATATTTTTTTATGTAACAGCATCAAAAGTAATGTTTTTATTATTATTAAAATGCACGGAATATGTATTTTTATTTCGCATGATTGCATATAAATTAAACATATCATTTCGTTTAATAATATCATTTTCTAATATTATAATATATGTAACAAGGGCCCTCATGTTATGCATTTAATTTACGCAGTTTCCACCACACAATACACTCGTACTTAGAGGTAGAGGAGAGAAGACGACGACATGCCTACGTACAGCCAACATTATGATAGTATGTTTATGACCACATAATTTTGTGCACTGTACTATAATGTGCAAGAAAATGTTCGCCACATTTTCGTTCCGTATTTGTTTTTTTGGTTCTATGTTTTCTATGTGCGTAATGTCGTCTTGAATATGTCCTTAAATTTCCATTATCTTATGTATTATATCTGTCACGCCACATCAATTATAATGTTCCCAATTTTCGTTTCTACCAATTTCGTATTTCGTCTCATACATACCGCCTCCTATCGCCTTTTTGGACGTACGATCTGTCTGGTGGGTCTAGTATTTCCTCAATACCTGCATATTGCATTCTTTCACTGTAGCAGTTTATATCAATTCTTATATACATTCTTTAATAGTTTTTAATTAATTGTCTATATTATTCTCTTTGTAAATATATATACAATATGCTTTTAATTGTTTCTGAAATGCTTTTCTTTTATTGTCATTACTGTCGTCTGTGCTTTGCCTGGTTAACAAAATGCATTAACGTGTTGCGATTTGTGTTTGTGTGTTGAAAATATTCTACCTAATTTTTGTATTTACAAAATTAAAATCTAATCAATTCATTGTATTATCTCCAATCTATAACTATTTTACTCACATTTTTGCACCATGCATAATATTAATTGTTAATTCCACGACTTTTCACACCTTCTATTTAATAGGATTTTATAAAACTGTAATTATATAATAATAATTTTTATTGACTTCATTAATATCTATAATATTTTGTTACACATTTTAAATATGATCATATGCAGATGTTTGAAGTTTTTTTTAACGCGACAGGTGAAGCGATGCTGTCCCCACTAGTTATGTGTGGTCCACAAGGTCTGGTATTCCTGAGACCGGTGACACTTCGTCTGCCGCACTGTGCCAACGCCGTACCTTCCCTGGGCTTGACTATCAAGGCCACCGACACCGAGGCACATCTCAGCACTGACTGGGATCAGATACACCTTCCTGCAACGACTACTCTTAACACTGTTGCCGTTAAAGTAGATCATTTTTAATATAAATTTAAAGTTAATATAAGTCGTCTTAAGACTTAATTACTCATATTGTGGTCAGTAGACAAGCACACACAAAATATTGTAAGAAAATAAGATTAATGTAAAGTAAAATAAATTAAACTAACAACAGCTTAAAATTTAATTCAATTTCTTAATTTTATCATGGTTTATTTTAAAACTCTCGTCTTAAAGACGATTTCACATTTTATTAGGTAATAATATGTTTAATACACCATAAGTTAATAGAAAAAAATATTCAAAAGATTTAAATAAAATGTATATGAACTATTTAATGGCGTTGGTAACATCAAGCTTAATTTCACAATATTTTAATATTGCCTTCATACCCACCTAAAAATATATTAAATATTTTGCCTTTGGTAAGTTAGTGGTGCTAAACAGTAACAATACACGAATGTTATTAAAAATATATATAACGTACACTTAAAAAAACATATACGTATATTTACACGAATCTCAAGGCGCTTTGTCCACGGTGTAGTTTGTAGCAAGTAGTAAAGAATGAATGAAATGAAGGTTTATAAGTGAACTATTATCTTTTGTATTGCCAGAAGAATTATTTTAAGAAATACTTACCATAATTAGATGTATGAGTAATAATAATGTTCATGTACCTATTATTATATTATTTAATATGAAAGCATTGTCTTTAATTAATGTACGTATTGGAATGTTATGAATTTATTAAAATTCGATATTTTTGTAATTTGGCTTCCGTAGGTTTAAAATTGAATTTATTGTTGCGATATTTTAATATAATAATGTATTGTATATTAACATTAATTAAATCGGTAATTATATTAGATACATTTAAATTTTCATCCTGCTAATTTCATGTCTGAATTGTGTATCTTTCTTTTTTTTTTAAATCTGTCTATATTATCGTAAATGTACCTTCACCATTGCGGATATTGTATATTTTTTGTTATTTGCAATATCATAGTCATTTTGACTAAATGATTAAATTTTATATTCAATGAACTTATCTTTTTTTCTGTCCTTGATAATCATTACAGTTATAGTATGTAATGTTTTATTATCTGTGGTCATAGCTTTAAAAATTATGAACCAGTAATCTTGAGTTCATATCAGTTACAGATCTCACTAAGACTTACACTTCAATTAAATAACGCAGTTTATAAATATAGGAGCCGTTTGCATCAATGAATGTGGTACGGGGAATTATCTCAGTTACTCTACACGTGTTTGTTTTTCAATGATAATGGAATGGTGCACCCGCCTAGGCTAACGGTTTACGTTGGTAAGGAAGAATGATAACGTGAAAATGAAGTTAGGTCAGTTAGCCCATCCTGGCAAATTCATCAGTAATTTATCACGGGGGGACCACGACCATAGGAAGTAAAGCGGTGCGGTAAACCGTTAGACCATCAAGGCCATTAAGAATGCATGTTCGTGAAAAAAAATATATTGAAATATATCCTATGCGGTCTAAACTGAAAGCTATCGAAGAATTTACAAATCCAAATATATAGGTACATATATATAAAAAAAACTGCGAAAGAAATGAAAAACCATCGCGAATGATTCCTAGTGAAGTCAGGATGATGTACTAATAACTTTGACTTCACCTATTCACCTGTGTAGGTGAATAGGCCACTGGCGCAGGTGCAGTGGCTCGACAACTTACACTGTTAACCACTTCCATATTAATCTATTAAATTAAGTTACTGTAGGAATTTTCTCCAAGTAAAAAATAAGTATTACAGGTTTCATATTATTCATATCATGGGTAATATTTTATTCTTACACGGTCGTAATTCATTTGAACTGGCAGTGAGTGAGTAAATTGCAGCGGATTGTCATTAAAGGTAACGTGTTCTCATAGGGATGGCAACACATGCACGTTTTATGGACAGTCGAGAACTTGAGTACAAACGCATTTCGCGGTATACTCTTAAAGTATAAATTATGAATGTCTAGATTTTCTTTTATTTAATTAGAATAGTAAAATAAAGTACAGACAGTGAGATAAAAATAGTTCAATGGATTTCGGCTAGCTCTATCTTACTGTCTGTACTTTTGTCTCATCTAGTGTATTTTTGGCGCTAAGCAGCTTGCTTCTTATAATTTATTCTGGTTTGAAGTGTGATATGGAAGTGGAACTATAGGCATAAGTGTCACATATCGCTGAGTGATATTGTCTATAAGCTTCAGTTGTCACATCACATCAGGACTTATGAGGTTGCTCATCAACTTGTTAATAAAAATATATAACAATGTTTGTTACTAGCTGAACGTCAAATCGCTACAAAATTACGGTCTCAATGCACTAAAGGTTTAGCACACCGCCTTATATCCGATGTTCGCAACTCTCAGACCGATATATTCATATTTATGAATAGAAATGTTTGTGCTGTGCGAAGAGTAGAACCCGCTTTCGGAAGTAAAATGATGTGTTGAACCGCTATACCACCGAGGCCGTTATATTATGTGTGTATTTTAAAAAAATGTATCTATGTGTGTATTGTCTAATACCCATAACATAATCTCTATTTAGTGTGAGACTACATGGAACTATATGAATTGTATTGAATAAATAATGTGTATTATAAAAACATTCTCCATGTCATATCAAACAGCATGCATTCAAAAATTTATGAATATCTAATAAAAAAAAATTAAAAATATTAAATACAATTTTTTAATAAAAAAAAAACGGTCCACTGGGAAGAACAAACGCCAATTCATTTGTATACATATATAGGTATAGATTTGTGCGCAATTTTGTATTTGACTGTACCACGTACCACGTATAATGTTAGGTATAATGTTCAGTCATTATTTGTCGACGGTCGCGAGGTAAAAGTTTATGAGTTCGTGTCGTAGATATTTTGTAACACCGGTGCATCTCTGATTTTCAAATGTATCAGTAATGTACAGAATATCTAAAACCTAAGCCATTAAAGTACAAATTTGCGTAATTTTCATAACATAACATGCAGTTTCCAAATTATTCTGGATTGAAACGACCCGACGTGTCGTAGGGAGCAAACGTGCAGGATCGCTAATTGGAAAGATGAAATAAGGAAAATAAAGCATGCACGAAATACATACTCAAAACAAAACATACTCTACATACCGTTACAAATAATATAAAAAAAACATTAAATATCAAATTCAAAACTATTTCGTTTCATATGACAGGTAGATTAGTAAAACTGTGAAAAAAATATTTTGATACTTCCAGCTATTTCTGTCTTTGTTGTTATAAAATTTATTCTCTGTTGTTATTTTATATCAATCGAACATTTTCAAAGAAACAAAGTATAGAGTAGCGGTAGAGTTACGAATAGAAAAGCGCACTCTTGGTTATCCTTTTTAGTTTGGCACTAAAAATAAATATAGATTTCATAATTTGAACCACACTCTCTATTCAGGTTGATGTAGCTTGATTAATAGAAAAGTTTCAATATTAATAGAAACTAAATTATATATTTATACTAGTTTCGGCACGTGACTTCATGCATCCATTTTGTCTGATAAAGTAAATTTATTAAGAGGAGTCTGAACACTATGATGGTCAATTTCTGCTGAACTGACCTGATTTCGTGCTCATCCTATCATCCTGGATCTACCGGCACAGGTATACCTACCATTAGCGCAGACAAATGCATTATTTCACTATTGAACTATAAAAAAATGTTACGATTCTAAGTACGATAATATTACATAAGTAGTATAATCTAAGTCCATAATTAAATTAAAAATAAACCCTTTCATTACTGTCTATTGATGTTGATAATACCCCTAATTTATGAAATGCCGTATCGAATCGCAAACCAAAGACAGACATAGCAACCCAGGTACCAGCCCATTAGCGAAATATGTATGACATTGTCATAATTATACTGGCTATTCTTTAATATGACACTATAATAGACGTAATGAGTATGTGAAAGTTATTTATGTAATAAGTATACCCTTTTAACGAGATATCAAGTTAACAATAAGCTTTCATAAATATCTTCCTAAACTATGGTATTAAGATGTTCTGAGTGCCATGATAGTGACATAAAGATAAAACTACTGTTAATACTGTACTACGTATATTTGTACCGGTAACGTGTATAATTCAGATATTCCATACAATACAGTATTCCATACCTGAGTACTAAATTATACGTATAGATTATAAATCTATACATGTAAGTAAAATTGGAGTGTCTGATTGTAATATTGAAATAACAGTTTTTTTACTACATGCATATGAATATAAATACGGTACATACACTAAAATAACATTTTTTACAATATTTGTCTGTTTGTTTGTTCCGGCTAATCTCTACTCCGACTAATTTTGACGGGACTCTTTTGGCAGATAGATGATGTAATAAGGAGTAACTTAGGCTACTTTTATTTCAGAGAAATAAAGTTAAATTCCATGCGGACGAAGTCGCGGGACCAACTAGTTTATTATATACTTACCTGTTTATCTTGTATACCTATATAAAGTTCTCGCGTTACAATGTTAGTTACCATACTCCTCCGAAATGGCTTCACCGATTTTTATGAAATTTTATATGCATATTATTTATATCCCTAAGTGATAAGGGTTGTCCAACCTTAGCATTTTTTATTTTATTTTTGGAAAAATTTATTATTTTTATATTTTATAAAGTGGCTTTAAAAAATACATACCCTAACCCTAAATTTTCACCCTTCTATCAACAACCCCTATTTTTTATCAATCTTATCAACGTGATAAGAAAATTTAAAATATTAAGACTGAAATATGTATGTATTATCTATATAGCTACAGTAAAAGCTCTATTTAGATTACTGGGCAATTAAAAATTACATTGTTGAAAATCGATTACTGAAATCAGTGTGTGAATTTAAAAGTTCTCAGAGCGTACTCTCAAATATGAAATCGGTAATATCTAAATGAATTTTATTTGATGATTTGATTTATGTGAGCAATACTGTTTCTATAACGACGCACAGAGGTCACACAGTGACATAACACTGCAATATCGGGGATTGTAAGGCCGCATTTATGTACATAAGCTGACGCGGATGCGCAATTAGAATAGAAAATAATTTATTCAAATAAACTTACTTAATTGAAGCACTTTTGAATAGTCATCACATTTTTTAATCTACCGCTGAAAGCGCGGATGTGTGTTGCGATTATTCAACAATTTAAGTTGTAAGTGTGTGAATTGATCAGTACTGTGAAAAAATATTTAATACACGGTTTTAATAAGAGGAAATATAAACATTTATTAAATTTGAATTCACATATCCATACGTTTCGTTTTTTATTGTTTGTTTTATGAGAGATTAAATACATGAGCATGAAATAAATTTAATATAACCCACAGATGGAAATGTAGAACTAGACCATTAATTTAACGACATTAAAACGCAAGACGATAGAAGATTAAAAATCGGTTGTAAGAAAGCCAATC